TGCCGGCGCCGCAAGGCGGAGGATTAGCCTACTGAGCTGCGGCGCTGGCCTTGAGCTTAAGTTTTAAGACTACTTTGCTAGGGCCAGCACCGTGGGCACAGTAGGCTAAGCTTCTGCCTGCAGTGCCGGCATCCCATATGGGCACTGGTTCTAGACCTGGCTGCTCCTCTTCTGATCCAGCTCTCTGCTTATGGCCTGGGAAAGCAGTGGAAGATGGCCCAAGTCCTTGGGCCCCTGCATCTGTGTGGGAGACCCAGAAGAAGCCGCTGGCTCCTGGCTTCAGATCGGCTCACTTCAGCCGTTGTGGCCATTTGGGGGGTGAACCAGCAGATGGAAGACCTTTCTGTCTTTCCCTCTGACTGTAACTCTACCTCTCAAATAAATAATCTTATTTTTAAGTTTCATTTACTTATTTGAGAGGCAGAGTTGCAGAGAGAGAGAAAAGTATTCCATCTGCTGGTTCATTCCCCAAATGGCTGCAACGGCTGGAGCTGGGCCAGTCTGAAACAAGAAGCCAGGAGCTTTCTCTGGGGCTCCCATGTGGGTGCAGGGGCCCAAGCACCTGGGCCATCTTCTGCTGCTTTCCCAGGCCACAGCCGGGAGCTGGATCAGAGATGGAGCAGCTGGGACTTGAACCAGCGCCCATAAGGGATGCTAGCGCCACAGGCATCCGCTTTACCCAGCAGGTGACAGCACCAATCCCAGTAAATAAAATCATTTGGGAAAAAAAAAAAAAATTCTGCCAGAAAAAAGCAGAGCCTAACTGCATCTATACCCAATATACATAGTAGGTATACGTTTCTTCATAAAAAGATGGACAAACAAGGAAACAAAAATCTATCCCCAGCAAAGTTAAAGAAAGGCAACATTAGGCAGTCGGCCATGAACATCAGAGACTGCAGGCACAAGAGTGGGGCCACCTGCCTATTCACCGCAAGGTACTTCAGTGCCTGGCGTCCCGGTTACGAGACCCTAGGAAGAGAAGCCGTCACTTCCTGTGCAGACACTGGGAGGCAGGCACTCCACACTCACGCTTCTGACAGGCTCGCCTGACTTGAGGACAAGCTCCGACCCTCCCCAGCCCCGCCACACCTCAGCCACCCCATCCCGGGAGACGGCTCGCAGGGGTGCAACGGAAAGGCAGCAGACAGCTCAGCTCTCAGGCCTTAGGCTGGAAATGGGGTCATGGCGGAGAAGCTTCAACAAGTCAGAAAACACGCAACCCTTGAACAGTCTACCATCTGCAGACTTCCCATCTACATGTGAGATAAACTCCGCATATTCAGCAAACAAACCTTGTATGGGGGCCGGCACTGTGGCACAGCAGGTAAAGCCGCCGCCTGCAGTGCCCGCATCCCATACAGGCACCAGTTCCAGTCCCGGCTGCTCCACTTCTGATCCAGCTCTCTGCAGTGGCCTGGGAAAACAGTGGAAGGTGGCCCAAGTCCTTGGGCCCCTGCACCCACATGGGAGACCTGGAAGAAGCTCCTGGCTCCAGATCAGTGCAGCTACGGCGGCTGCAGTCACCTGGGGAATAGACCAGCAGATGGAAGACCTCTATCTGTATCTCTGCCCCTCCTTCTCTCTCTGTGTAACTCTGACTTTCAAATAAATAAATAAATCTTACAAAGGGGCGGGGGGGGTAGACAGGCTGGTGCCATGGTGCACTAGGTTAATCCTCCGCCTGCGGCGCCAGCATCCCGTATGAGCACTGTTTCTAGTCCCAGCTGCTCCTCTTCCAGGCCAGCTCTCTGCTGTGGCCCGGGAGTGCAGTGGAGGATGGCCCAAGTGTTTGGGCCCTGCACCCGCGTGGGAGACCAGGAGAAGCACCTGGCTCCTGGCTTCAGATCGGCGTGGTTCCAGTTGTTGTGGCCATTTGGGGAGTGAACCAATGGAAGGAAGACCGTTCTCTCTCTCTGTCTATAACTCTGTCAGATAAATAAATAAAAATCTTAAAAAAAAAAAAAACCCTGTATGCATTCCCCAGCTGTGAGGTGATTATGTTCCCACACAAGCTCTTTTTGTTGTTGTTGTTAATGTTTATTTATTTATTTGAAAGTCAGAGTTACACAGAGAGAGGAGAGGCAGAGAAATGGGTCTTCCATCCGCCAGGTCACTCTCCAATTGGCCACAATGGCCAGAGCTGTGCCAATCCAAAGCCAGGAGCCAGGAGCTTCTTTTGGGTTTCCCACACGGCCATCTTCCGCTGCTTTCCCAGGCCATAGCATAGCAGAGAGCTGGAGCAGAAGTAGAGCAGCCGGGACTCAAACAGCCACCCATACGGATGCTGGCACTGGAGGCAGCAGCTTTACCCGCTATGCCACAGCGCTGCCCCCCCGCCCAGCTCTTAACCCAGCCAGTACTGACAAAACGGTCCCGGAAAGACCTCTGCGTGACCACACCGATCACCAGGAAAAGTGCAGCCCAAGCACATGCAAGTCTTTGGAAACGACACCTACACTGCTGAAGTGGCACTAAAGTGACAGATGACAGTAATCCAGCGGCCCCAGGCCAGCAAACTCCACCGCAGACAGATTTGTCTGCTTTGTGCCACGGTGATTCTTGCATGTGCGGCAGTGAATAGAAGCGGGGCAGCCGCGTGCAAATTCAAGAGCAAGCACGTCCTAACCCTTCACTCTCCAGCAGGCCAGCAGGAGCGGCGCCCTCAGCAGCCAGGCTTAACGGGGAAGCAGACCTAGCAAGAGTCACCTACAGGTCTGAAATCTGCATTAAAAATATATAAAAAATAAAAAAGCAAGAGGCCAGTGTCACGGCGCAGCGGGTAAAGCCATCGTGTGTAATGCCAACTTCCAATATGGGCACCGGTTCGAGTCCTGGCTGCTCCTCTTGTGATCCAGCTCCCTGCTAACGGCCTGGGAAAGCAGCAGAAGGTGGCCCGAGTGCTTAGGCCCCTTTACCCACGAGAGACCCAGAAGAAGCCACTGCGGCCATCTGGGGAGTGTCCAACAGTCGGAAGGTCTCTCTCTCTCTCTCTCTCTCTCTGTACATCTTCCCTTTGCTCTCTGTAACTCTTCCAAATAAATAAATTAAAAAAGAAGGCAAAACGAAATAGCCTCACTGTAACTAATTCGAGTGGAGACGACCCCGGTTCCCCCACCCCTTGAGTGTGTTCTGAGCACGGCATGTGCCCGCGCCCCCAGGTCTGGGCTGAAAGCCGGCGTCCAGCCTCAGGAACACGTCCCTTCCCCTGACAGCGCTGGAACACGGGCCCGGCGTCTGCTCTGGAGAGGAACCCAGAGGGCAGGGGGCCACGCCTCTCTCAGGGCCACTTAGGAACACTCTGGGCCCAGCCACACGGAGGACAGGCCCTGGATGGGGGCCGCTGGCACCAGACACGCCACGCCCACTCAGGTGACAGAGAACACACACCTGTGGCGTCGCATCTAGTCTGTTTGTAGATGCGCCCTCTACAAACAGTCAGTACCCCAGCACACTGCAGGAATGTCACCACACCCGGCGGGTCCCCACAGCCCCCAGGGGATGAAGACTGGGGGGGAGGGGGGGGCCGCTCAGCGCTGTGAGGCTCCGAGGCAGGGAGGCGTCAGCCAGGCACTCGCAGGTCCCTCGGGACCACAGACACTCATAGAGCAGACACACTTACTCTTCAACAGGGTTCAACCCTCCCAAGCCAGCGGCACTCAAAATGTTTCCAACTTCACTGCTCTACTTCCGCGCAGGGAATGGGCTCAACCAACACTTCCCAGTATGATGGAAACAGGCTACAATCCACACAAAACTGTAAAACTGTAGCCTTAACAAGTCGGTTGTAAAGGAGGCTAACTGGGGCTGCTACTGCGATAGCTACCTCGTACCGGGTCAGCCTGCCTGGCTCGGGGCTCGGCGATCGCTGCTGAATGAATGACGGGGCCCCAAGCGCCCAGACTCTCGGGACAGCGTGACTGAGACCCGGCCGGTCCAACAGCCAAACCCTGCTCAGGACGCCACTGCTTCCTTCCACCACTCTCTTTTAGACAGGAAAGGAAGAGGGGTCCAACCGCGCTCGGCCCCGAGGCGCAGGTCAGTCTCGCGCTGGCCAGAGGCACAAGTCCCGGGCCACGGACGCAAAGGCCATCGCCAGGAGGCACGCGTGGCCTCCGCGAACGAGCCCGGGCACCGAGTATAGGAAGTGCGGGAGCCTCTGTGCACGCGAAGCCCGCAGAAACGCACGCCAGGCCTCCCGGGGGAAAAGCCCGCGACGCACCGGCTGCCCAGCGACCCGAGTACGGGGAAGTTCCGACGGCACGCCGGAGCGGGCGCCCCAAGAGCGGAGCCCCCCGAGAGGTGCTGTCCGTGCATATTTAAGGAAAGGCCCGCGGCCCGCCCGGGGGAGCCGCCGCCAACAAAGCGGCGCGGCAAGGCGGGAGCTGCCCCGCCGCCCGCCCCGCACCTACTTTGTGTCGCTCTCCCACCTCTCATTCAGAGGCGCGCGCCGGCCGCCCAGGCGCCGGCGCCGGGGCCCGGGGCTCAGCCGGCGCCCAGCCCGGGGTCCACGGCCGGCGCGACCCCCAGCCCGCGCCCCGCGCCCCCAGCACCTCCCCCCCGTGCGCGACAGGGGACCCCCGCCGCCGCGCCCCCCGCCGGCGCCGCCCCGGGCCCCGCGGCACCCGCACGCCCGCGCCGCTGTCCTCAGCGGCCCCGGCCCCCGGCCCACCCGCGCCGGCGGGTCCCGCGGGGTCCACGGCGCTGGGGGCGGCCCGGGGGCGTGGGGCGCGGGGCGCGGGCGGCGGCGGCAGGCCCGGGCGCGCCGACGGCGCCGCCAGAGACCCCGGGGCCGCGCCGCGCCCCGCTCGCCCCGGGAAGCCGCGGGGCCGGGGACTGGGGAGCGGGAACCGGGCGGCGGCGGCGGCCCCGGGGCCTAGGCCCGGGCGGCGGGTCCCGCGCCCTCCCCCACCCCACACGCTCGCTCCCGGCCGCCCGCGCCCGCGCGCGCTCCCCCAGACTCGGGCCCCTTCCGGCCGGGGGCGCGGGCCGCCGGCTACCTGCGGGCTGCGGAGGGCCATGGCGGCCCGTTTGAATGGGACTCGGCGCGGCCCGGCGGCTCACGCTGCTTCCCCCGCCGCCGCCATCTTCTCGCCCGCACATACACACTCGCATCGGCCGCCGCGCCTGCGCACTGGCGGCGCGCCGCGGGGCGCGGGCGGCCGGGGCGCTGCTGCGCGTGCGCGGCCGGCAGGTGGGCGTGCGCGGGCGCCTCCGGCCGGGCCGGGCGGCCGCGGGAGCCGGGCCGGTGGACTGTGAGCCCCGCCGGCTCGGGCAGGTGCGGGCCTGATGGGGAGAGGGCGTGCAGGTGCAGGGGGAGCTAGTGCCCCCAGCCCCCGGGGCCCTCGCTGCTCCAGGAGAGTCTCCCTTGGCTGATCAGACCCCCGAGGAGGGCGTCTCCAGATTAGCGGAGTCGCCCTCCCGTGCGTTCGTTCACTGCTTCCCTCGCGGTTCTGCCGGGGCCCTGGCTCCGAGCCACGCCTTACGCGGGCATTGCAAACCCAAAGCCAGAAGCACCGAAGCCAGGCACACAGGTGAAGCGCCTGCCGTGAGGCCTGGCCACCATCCTGGGTCCGGGGAGCCCCCCGAGCGCGGGCTGCCACCGTGTGTGCGGCTGTCACGCGCCCACGGGGAGCCCGGGTCGAGCAGCCCCCGGTGATGCATCCTGCAGCCGGCGCAGCCCCAGTGGCCGGGCAGTGTGCGGAGGAAGCGCTACAAAGACGCCGCAGTGAGATACATTGGGTCTCGGTGGAATCCCCAGTGTTGCAAGCTGGTGTTACTGTTTGTTTTCAGGATTGGTTGTCAGAGTTACAGAGAGAGAGAAATCTTCCATCCGCTGGTTCGCTCCCCAGATGACCCAAGCGTCCAGGACTGGGCCAGGCCGGAGCCAGGAGCCAGGAGCTGGATCCGGGTCTCCGACATAGGGGGCCCAAGTACGTGGGCCGTCTTCCGCTGCTTTCCCAGGTGCATTAGCAGGGAGATGGGCTGGAAGTGGAGCAGCCGGGACTTGAACCAGAGTCCCTGTGGGATGCCCGCTGCTGGCCCCTGAGGCTTGTTTTGTGATAGACAGATCAGAATTCGGGTTACATATAGATGATGAGTGAATTACTGCTGACTTTCATCACGTGATGATGATGTTGAGCTTGTGAGGAGAATGCCCCCAGGCCAGCATTGTGGCGAAGCTGGCAAAGCCACCATCTGCAAGACCAGCATCTCATATGGGTGCTGGCTCCTGTCCTGGCAGCTCTACTTCAGATCCAGCTCCCCACTAATGACCTGGGAAGGGCGGCAGAGGATGGCCCAAGTGCTTGGGCCCCTGCTACCCATGTGGGAGACCTGGAAGAAGCTCCAGGCTCCTGGCTTCAGCCTGGCCCAGCCCTAGCTGTTGTGGTCATCTGGGGAGGGAACCAGATGGGAGATTCTCTCTGTCCCTGCCTCTCTCTCTGTAACTCTGACTTTCAAACAGATAAATAAATCTCAAATAAATAAATGAAGAACACCCTCATTGTTAGGAGATTCGTTCCAAATTTAGTTGTGAATATCATAATGCTTGCAAACTTTATAATAGTTCAGCAAAAAATAGAATTCATATAAACACAAACATATATAGAGAAAGCAAATATGGCAAAATGTTAACAGTTACTGGAGTAAGAGTTGTTATTTTTCAACTTCCTCTGTTTGAAAATGTTTTTAACAAAATGCGGGGGAAATAGGATCTATCATTATGTCTGTGCTATGATTACAAGTGCATATGGATAGACACTGGAAGGGACACCAAGTCCACTGGCAATTTATAGTAGTCCATGTTTTTATAGTAATGTTGCTTCAGCAAAAAAGATTTTTTATTATGATAATGAGGCGGGCATTTAGCCTGGATTTCAGTGTCCATGTCCCACATCAGAGGACCTGAGTTCAAGCCCCAGCTCCAGCTCCTGACTCCGCCTTCCTGCTAATGCAGACCTCGGGAGGCGTCGAGGACGATGGCTCAAGCGTGGGTTCCTGCCACCGTGTGGAAGTCCTGGGTTCAGTTCCCCACTCCTGGCTGCAGCCGAAGCCCAGCCCTTGCTGCTGTGGGCACTCGGGAAGTGAGCCAGCATAGTCAGTCTCTCTCTCACACACATAATTTTTTAAAAAGATAAGTTTAAGAATTAAATAAGGGCCAGCGCCATGGCTCAATAGGCTAATCCTCCACCTAGCGGTGCCGGCACACCGAGTTCTAGTCCCGGTCGGGGCACCGGATTCTTAATTTATTTTTATTTTTATATTTATTTATTTATTTATTTATTTATTTATTTGACAGGCAGAGTGGACAGTGAGAAAGAGAGACAGAGAGAAAGGTCTTCCTTTTGCCGTTGGTTCACCCTCCAATGGCCGCCACGGCCAGTGCACCGCGCTGATCCGATGGCAGGAGCCAGGCACCTATCCTGGTCTCCCATGGGGTGCAGGACCCAAGCACCTGGGCCATCCTCCACTGCACTCCCTGGCCACAGCAGAGAGCTGGCCTGGAAGAGAGGCAACCGGGACAGAATCCGGCGCCCCGACCGGGACTAGAACCCAGCGTGCCAGCGCCGCAAGGCGGAGGATTAGCCTAGTGAGCCACGGCGCCGGCTGGGGCACCGGGGTGCAGGGGCCCAAGCACTTGGACCATCTTCCACTGCTTCCCCAGGCCATGAGCAGGGAGCTGGGTCAGAAGTGGAGCACCCAGGACTCACCGCAGAGCTGGCCCCACCACTCATCATTTTCGAGTAATTCATGAAGCAGTTAACACATGACGGCAAAAGGAGGAAATGCGAGTTGAGGAGGATCCAGGCAAGCCTGTGGGCCTCAGGACCCAGCAGGCCCAAGTACTAGGCCAGGCTGCTGGGGCAGTGGGAGAGCCTGAAGTTCACAGCCAGTTTCCCATACTCACCACCTTTCCTGTGAGATGTGGGGGGCAGACTGATGGACCACCCTGCCCACCCCAGAGATGTGCATGTACCAGTCCTGGGACACAGAAATACGTTTTGGCAGGTGTGACTGAGTTATCACCTTGCAGTGGGAAGTGACTGGGGTCATCCAGGTGCATGAGGGTCCTTCACAGGGAAAGAGGAAAGAGCCAAGGGAGGCAGACGACGGGCCACTGGAAAAGTGAAGTAAAGAAAGAGATTTGGAGATGCTGAGCTGGCTGCTGGAAGACAGAAAAGGGACTGGAGCCAAGGAATGAGGTGCCTCGGAAGCTGTAAAAAGTAGGAAAACAGGTTCTCTCCCAGAGCCCAGGGAGCAAGGCCCTGCCACGCCTAGATTTCAGCCCAGGGAGACTTCCGTCCTGCCCGGCTTTCAAAGAAATGATTGGTGCTGGTTCTGGGTGGTTGGTTGCAGCAGCAGCAGTGAGAAACCCTGAGGTGTACAGGGCGTGGACAAGCACCTTGCTAGGAGAAAATGAAGCCACGAGCCAGCCAGGGTGCAGAGGTGGAAGCCTTACCAGCCACTCCACAGTGAAAAGGGTTTTTCATTATTATCCAAGAACTGCGTGAGCCTTGCCCGAGGAGGTGACCTTTGAACTATGTCCTCAGGAGTGTTTGTCACAGGGACTACGTTCCCCAGATAAACCCAGAGGATACTGACAAACAGGAGTTAATCCTGGACAGAAGATTTCAATTTAGTCTCTCCTGCTGGGAAAAATTGTCTCCTAAACTCTGATCATAGAGAGGAGCGCCAGGAGTTGTGCCACCTTGGGCAAGTACCCAAGCCCTCTGGATGTCAGCTTCCTCCTCCGTAAAATGGGAGAACACACCCGAGGATGCAGGCGACGAGTGAAGGATCATGGCGCGGCATGTCAGCTGCTTAGCAGGAACTGCAGCAGCCAGAGCTTCCCAGAGGGTGGAATCAGCACCGTTACCCGCTGCGTGCTGTGGTCCCTGCACTAGACGGGCCTGGTGCATTTCACAGCGGGTATTGCCCAGGACGCCAAGTCAAGCTTTCAGATGCAAATTGGAATTGGAGAAAACTCAGCTCCACGGGGTGCCCAGTCAGGTTCCCAGTGCCTGCAGACTCTTCTCCCGAGACAGGGGGAGACCGGAACAAATGAAATGTTTTTTAAAAATAATGGATAATGGCATGTTCAGCACTTGAAAGATCTGCATGAATCAGTGTTTTCCAAATGACTGGTGCAGGATGTGAAAAAAAAAATCATGCACAAGTAAAGGATCCATTCAAATGCAAGATAGGTCCGTGGATTTTAACCTAACAGAAGACACACAAGTGCACTGGCATGATTTCACGTTCCACTGTGTAATTTCCCTTTAAGAAATTCGCCTGCTTTTGGCGTAACAACAACAACAAAAATATCCACAATTATCTAAAAGGCTGCTCCTTTTAGGAATGTACTTTTTAGGAAAATACTCCTTCCTGCCTCGCTCAGCTGCTCGATCCGTGCCAGGATGGGTTTCCTTCATGGGTTTCACCCAGAGCAGTGCCGCATGTCAGAGGCAGCGGCTGATGGGCACCCAGCTGTTTTCTCACGGATTCACGCAGGAAAGAGACCCAGAAACACAAAACCACACCGGTCTTCTTACCAAAACGTTTGGTTTTAGAAAACACTTATTCTTCACACAAAAGTTATTGACAGGAGCCGGCACTGTGGCGTAGCAGGTGAAGCTGCGCCTGCAGCACCAGCAGCCCACATGGGCACCGGTTCTAGTCCCGGCTGCTCCTCTTCCGATCCAGCTCTCTGCTGTGGCCTGGGAAAGCAGTGGAAGATGGAACAAGTCCTAGGGCCCCTGCACCCAAGTGGGAGACCTGGAAGAAGCTCCTGGTTTCAGATTTGGTGCAGCTCCAGCCATTGCAGCCATCTGGTGAGTGAATCAGGGGATGGAAGACCTCTCTCTCTCTCTCTCACTCTCACTCTTTCTCTCTCCCTCTCTGCAACTCTGCCTTTCAAATAAATAAATCTTTTTTTTTAAAGTTGTGGACATTGATAGGTGATGAGTTTATTTATTAAATGACTTGTTGTAAGTATTTCAGTTTTCATTTGCAACACGGTAAGCAGAGTCGGCAGAACTCACAAAGGCGAAGCTTCTCTGCAGTCAGCAGTAGTTTTAAGAATGGAAAGAGAGAGGAGAGCTCCAGCTCCCGGGGCCCAGCAGGCCGCCTCCAGCCTCCAGCAGCCC